ATTTATACAATTTAGGAGTGTGTAGTTTCGCAACGCTAGTGTTGTATTTTTCGAAATTGTGCAATTAATAAATAGCACACTTAAAAAACATATTTATGCTTGCAATACATTTATTTTCGTTTTGGAAATTTACCTGAAATGAAAACAATATTAATACCTGGCGATGAAGAAGCGATTTCTTTGAAAGTACTTGTAACAAAACATCTAATCCATCTCATATATTTAACCATGATCCGTTAGCGAAGTGATTTCGTCATTAATTACATTAACTTTATTTATTAATTATTTGGATGATTACTTCTTTATAATATTATATATACTGCACCAATTAATACATACATACATACATATATATATATATATATATAAAAGTGAATATTGAAGACAACACTCAGAGTCGACAGGTTGTTTCATGTTAGACGTGGCCTGACGATTGCGTATATCATGAAAGAGCCTGTCGCCTCTGAGTGTAGACTTCAATGTTCAATTTTATATTTACATACGCTTTATCTCTGATATTGAGCACGTTCTCACATAAATATAGGACACCTTAAAACTATACTTCTTCATATATATATATATATATATATATATATAATATATATACTTATATATATATATATATATATATATATATATATATATGTAAATATATTGATAACATTATTATTAAACGAGAAAGAAATTACAATATTGATCCATATTTTTTTAATATAATCTAAGGTTTCGTATATTGTTTAATATGTTTGTAATTTACATCTTTGATAATGGCTTAAGTAAGCCGAAAGCTTAGATTATATTAAAAAAATATGGATCAATATTGTGAATTTCTTTCTTCGTTTAATGATAATGTTATCAAACTTTTCAGATGTTACGAACAAATTTTACATAAAATAAATAGACAACACTTGTCTATATTATTTAATGAAACGTGTATAAATGAAAAAAAAAAATATATATATATATATGTGTGTGTGTGTGTGTGCGTAATTAGTATTATTGGAATGACATTATTATTTTACTAAACCCTACCTATGATATTAAAATATATATAAGTACTTATAAATTAGATGTCACTAAATGATTACAATCCATAAGATAATGGCTAACTACTTGTACCTGACTATGCCGGTCTGCCATGGCAGCTAATTAATCCCTGTTACAGACGCCTGACATTTGCGTTTGTTCAACACCCAAAGAACCCAGCTGTGGTTTATATCTCAACTAAGCTTATTGGACCTTCACTCGGTCACGATGACTTGTGACTTGGGCTCTCACAACCATCAACGAACAATTCCGGGTGCTACTATAGCGTGAGATCTACCTCATTATGTCGTGCCCCTCCCCTCATGTGATTATCAGGCCAGGTGAGGCCTAACATAGATCAGGTCAGGTAAGGTCTAACATTTATATTTATATTTGTCTCACATTTTCTAAACATGTGAAACGGGAGGTAGACCTCACGCTAAAGTATTTCAATATATTTTGTGTAATCATAGCAGAGTTTTCTTGGTGCTACTATAGCGTGAGGTATATCACAATGTGTCGTGCCCCTCCCCTCATGTGGCCATCAGGTCAGGGGACGTCTAACATGGATCAGGTTAGTTGAAGTGTAACATGTATAGTTATATCTGTCTCACATTTTCTAAACATGTGAAACGGGAGGTAGACCTCACGCTGAAGTATTTCAAGACATTTTGTGTAATCATAGCAGAGTTTTCTCGGTGCTACTATAGCGTGAGGTCTATCACAATATGTCGTGCACCTACACTCATGCGGTGATCAGGTCAGGTGACGTCTAACATGGATCAGGTCAGGTGACGTCTAACATGGATCAGATCAGTTGACGTCTAACATGTATAGTTATATCTGTCTCTCATTTTTCTAAACACGTTGAAACGGGAGGTAGACCTCACGCTATATTGAGGTAGACCTCACGCTATAGTAGCACCCAATTCCGTACACCTAATTCTAACAACGAAAAATGTATTAACTTGTCGCATGGTTTCTAGCCACTTTCCAAAAGTGCCGCACTCTGAAATCACCGATAACATCAAAGTGACCTTCCTGACTAATCAACAATTGTGAGATCTCACCACTGAATAATTAATTGTTATTAAATTACAGCCATTGCTATGATGGTAATAAGAAAAAGAATTAATTGAAAAAAAATAATTCTGTGATTCGCATGTAAATAATGTAGTTTTTTCAAGAAAGAATTAGATGCTAACATAACTTACAGGTCAAGAAAATAAATGTCGATACGAGGAAATAAACGGCCGGTCGAGCGATTGATATTTAACCAGCTGTTTAAAAAGATCAATACTTTAATATATTTGGAATAGTAAATAGTTCAAGATATTGTAGGAACCAATGCACACAAAACGTCGTACAGTTGCTGTTACTAAGATAATAATACCTGCAATTGCTTGTGTCGAGAGTTCGATCCTTGGTGGGTGAGGCTTTATTTAAATGCCGTGACACAAAAATAAGTGTAGTATCCAGATGATGTCTGCTGCAGAATATGGTTTAACGAATCTAAGTTAAAAAAGGTCACAGGAAAAAGTCACGGAAAACTTTCACAGAAAAAAAAAGTCACAGGCAAACAGGACAATGTTATTGATCGATTGATTCGTTTTCTACGGCTTATCAACCCATTCCTGGTTTTAAAGTCAGAGAAATATTTTCATTAAGTGACACAAGTCTTACAAATTAGCCTATATGTAGGGGAGAAGAGATATGGCACAGTGGATAAAGGCGTTAGTTAGATCCAGTGACAGGTCTCAAAGAGTGTGAGTTCAATACCTGGTTAAGGCGGTGGAGAACTTGGAGAGGGAAACTAACAGGAGATAACTGATAACTGACATCCATTTAACATGGCACGTAGAACTAGAACAGTCTACCCCAGTAAGCGAAATAAAGAGTTTAGTTCGACATTCCAACCACCTGAAGAAGGCCGGAACGTACAACGGCCGAAACGTTGTGATAAGTAAGTGAACAAAGATGAGGACAATAATCCGAATAATGTAAATAGGATTCATACCTTTCTCGATGGTATTTACGCGTAAGTGAATATAATTTACCCAACTGTAATTGGAACACGACTCTCCGATCCAATATCCGTAAGCCAGGGCACTGTTAGCGCTCTTTCTGCTTCTGTATTTAATAAAGCGTTTTTTTAACACTAGCCCTAATTCGTAAAACTAACCTTAATTATGGTATCCCTACCTCTAATCCCAGTATACATACCGCTAACCCTTAACCATAACCCTGAATAATATAAATCTCGATCGTTGTGCTGTTGTGTGATTAACAATAAATGGATTTAATCAGGGCCGTTTTAAGACCAGTAGGGGCCCTAATCACTTAAAACTTTTTCGGGACCTCATACACATGCGAGTTAAGCATACTATTATGGACTCTTGGTGAGTAGTGCAAATAAAACATATCAACCGAGAACATGCAACGCGGAAACACTAGCTAGAAATAAATATAGACGGAACTGAAGGCAGATAGGACCATCGAGAGAGGATGATCATCAGTTCCAACTCAGAACAACATCATCCAAGAAAGAACCAATCACAGATGAGCAGCCACTGTCACATCCAGATTCTAACAGAACTGTGACCAGAAGTGGTCGTGTAATCAACAAGCGTATTACATAAAGATATGGTTTGCATAATGTCAAACGAACATGAAGATAGTCTACCCTTGTTCGCAAAAATTAAATCCCATTAAGTTAATTCGTAAACTAACTTATTCAAGAGAACTGATGTGATGTATTGGGTAAATAAAAACCTCATTATCTCCCTTAGCCCATTCCCTTATTAACCAATCAGAATGTCAATAATGATTCACTGCGGGTTAGTTGTCTCCTCGTCCATAATGGCACCCCATTGATTCAAATGTTAATCTTATTTCTTTAGACATATACAACATTATATCATTACAATTTCAGTGGGGCCCTCTTCCCTTGATGCCTTAAGCACGTGCTTATTTTGCTTAATGGTTAATCCAACGCTGGATGTAATGAAAAATAATTTTGACACCTCCTCTCTACGACATTATTTGCAGCAATATGCGTGCAAAAATCTGTTGTAATGGTTTTATGTATAACACACACGTCACTTGCAAAACCACGTTGTGACTTTTTTCTGAACCAAAATTGTGACTTTATTCTGTGTTTTTCCCCCCTGTAATTTTATCACCGGCCACGAGTTTAATAAATTCGATTCGTAATGTGTTCAATTCTTATAATAACAACAGTGTATTAGATCAAGTTAAACTGTCTACTGCATTTGACAGCATAACTGAGAAACATGAATGATAGGGCCAACCCCATTTCTGTAAGGCTCAGTGGGATACAATTAACTTTTTCGTCTAATTAAAGCAAAATTATCACCACATTACAAAAACACAAAAAGAGTCACTTTCGCTATAACAAAACACATTATTCTTTTATGTAGTGTGTCATTACAGGAAATGGGCGATCATGGTTCTCCACAAGTTCCTATCTATCGTACCAATAATTAATCTTTGATGCCTTGCTCTCCCTGTTCTGCCAACTATTTATCTAAGGTCATTCGCTGTTTCACTCTGTTCTTCTTGCATTCAGTATGACCCGTGAGTGTCAAATTCCCCAAATCCGCTTTCCTCATTATGTGTCCCAGAAATTTCGAATGACGGTTTCTGATACTAAATGTCCTTTAAAAAAGCAAGCTGGCAGTAGAGCTAATTATAAATACACCGACATCTTTACCAGACATTATTCTTTGGCCGACTCGCATGGCGGATATGTTTGTTTGTGGAATTAATGTCTTGTTCCCTGAATAGTGTTTTACCATTACTCGTATTTTATTTAAGTTCTGTTGTTTTCTTCTCTATTTTCCAGCTGTTCAATTATAGGAGTGTAATGAGGAACATTTACGTGTGCAAAATTAGCTGGTATCGAAGAAAGTCCATGAAACGATTTTACTATAACTCCTTTAACAATACGTTGTTTACGGCCATATCACCTTGAAACACCGGTTCTCGTAAGATTACCGATGTTAAGAAACGTCGAGACTGGTCATTACCTTGATAGGTGATCACTTGGGAATACCAGGAGCTGTAATGCGGGTGATATAAGGGACAACGACTCGGAATTGGAGAGCCGAGTTCTAATTCAAATCGGGTTCATTATATTCACTTATGTGCAAATAACCTTGGGAAAGATGTAAATCCATCCCACATCAATCTACAGCCTAATTAGAAGAAATTGTATCAGTAAAAATCATAATTATCTTCCAAAATTTCTTGCAAAATAAACTGATATTTAAATAAGCCGTAAAAAAAACAAATCCATCAGTCAATTTTACATTACTACTACTATTACTACTACTACTACTATTACTACTACTACTACTACTACTACTACTAATAATAATAATAATAATTATTATTATTATTATCGTTCTTTGTGTGTTATGTTTCCTTCTTTGTATCCTGTAAACTATGTCCAAACTATGGTCCTTAGGCCCTGTAGGAGAATTGTCATTTAATTGATAGCACTTTTCTTAGTATATGGAATGTCCCTAGTAAGGTGAGTTTCTGCGCAACTTTTAGGTTGATGTTACCTAGGACATAAAAATGACCATTCCTTTTTTTTAAAAGGCCCAGTGCTCCGATTACTATTGGTACAGTCTCAGTCTTCATTCCCAACATCCTGTGAATCTCGATCTCTAGGTCCTTTTATTTGGACAATTTCTGAATAATTTTTATGGAGGTGTTTCTCCCATATGGTACTGCTATATCAATAAGCATACACTTCCTGAATTTCTTGTCTTTTATGATAATATCAGGTCTGTTGGCTTTTAATTCCCATTCAGTTTGAATTGGCATGTCCCAGAGGATAGTTACATCGTTATTTTGAGTAACAGTGTCTGGTTGGTGGACATACCATCTCTCAGTGGTTTCGATTTTGTTCTTCTTGCTTATCTTTCAGTCCACATATGTCGCTACCTTGTTATGTTTCTGGGTATATTCATTTTATTATTATTATCATTATTATTATTATTGTTGTTGTTGTTGTTGTTGTTGTTGCTGTTGTTGTTATTGTAGCATACCTACGGATGATAATCGGTATGTCTCCATTCACATACTGTATGTTGTTCTGGAGTTGGAGATTCGTCTCCAACTGTTCTGGTCAAATTCTCTGCCACCGAGCATAGAGGATCCACAGACGAAGCTATGTTTAAGGGCAGATTCTGGATTCGGGAAACAGCTACCCAACCCTGTTTTATACGTGGTCTACGAGGAACTTTTGTCTGAGCCTACAGGCTCGGATACCCCACATTAAATTCGGCCTTGTGCCACATCTGACCGTGTGGGGCGATTGGTAGATATCCTGTAGTTGGACACTCATTGTGGAATTCACTTAACTCACTTCTAGCAGTTGTCTACTTCTTCTAAACGCCGCTGGCGAATCTTATATGAGTGGTTCTTGTCCTAAGTATTATCGTTCATTACCAACCCTCGTTTGAGTATTCTATTCAGAATGTTACAAAAATTATTCATAATGTATGTTCGTGGAAACATCATGGTTGGGTATCAAATTATGTGTACGTTTGTTTTTCTTAATTTGAAGGTTAAAGTAGCCAAGACAATTTTGGAGTCACATCTAGATGCTTGGGGACAGTCTCAATCTAATACTGAATTAAATATGTTACACGAACAGAATGTATTTTTTAACTGCCCCACACGTGGAAAGATATGCCCTCATTTTTGTTTACCAAAACTTCTCACCATATCGCGTGCAGTTGGTTATGTTTTATGTGTCCTTTACATCATTATTAAACTGGCTTTCATGATGGTTATCTTGGACTTTGTATGTTTTTACCCAGCGACATTTAATTAGTGTGCTACTCTCTCAATAATAACAATATTGTCGTCTGCGTAAATAATATTAGAGAGATGGGGTTAGGCATAAATGAGGTAAAATTATAGGCAACGATAGTGAGCGATGGAGAGAAATTTTCGTACGTGCGTGCTCAACTTCGTATATGAGATGCAAGGCGACGTTTGAGCCAATTTGCTGCAAAAAGCGTCTTAAATACCGTGTATATCTACAATGAGGCGCTGAAAATTTCTCTAGAAAGGACATCAAAATTTACTATATCCGGTAAATAAAACACTTTGGCCAGAAATTATATTGATTGGAATAGAGTTTCATTTTTTTAAGCTAAGTAGACCACGTCAGTCACTTTTCAGACATTTTTAAACAAAACTTACTTTTTTGTTTTAAAAATCTTGCAAAAATAAAATATATATTTCTGAAAAGTTAATATGAAGTTAAGTTAATCTCATTTGAAACAAATATTATTTATAGCATAAGAGGATTACAATCATTTTCTAACCACGGGATTTTGTTTTGTGACGTGTTAACCGATTTATTGACGGCGGATTGACCACTGAAAATGATTATAATTGTCTATAAAGAAGCAGACGACAATTTTCATTAGGATTCTGTTTTGTTTTTTTCTCGTAACGGGACACAACACTGAAAGAACGTGAATCTTTAATGATAACATCCATAGTTCGAAATTAGACACGTATATAACACATCCATAAACAAATCGAAATTCTTTTTAAAATATCCGGGTTCTTCAGATTATGGTAAGCTTTAAAATATATGATTAGGAAATATAGTTTTACTTAATAATAATATTCCTTAAAAATTATCTCATCGAAGTTGAACTGTAAAAGATGCATAAACTATTGAATATTAAATTGTAAAAGATTGTAAAAAATGAAAACAAATCTTGAAAAATTCATTGATTTTTTTCTACAGATAATATTGTCTTAAATGTATATTATTAGTAAAAGCAATTAACAGCTTTTCTAATTAAATAATGTCTTACATTTATTGTATTCTTTTTATTTTTTGATTCAGAACTGATTTTCGGTCCGATTTCGCTAAATAATTCGGTGATTTAAATTCTTCAAAATATTCTGCTTTTAACGAATATAATCACTACAAATTATCTCGAGGAATTTCTGAAGATTTTAGGGAAGAAATTAAGGGCAAGAAAAGATAGTTTGCCAGTTGGTGCAAAAATAATGTCGTTTTTGACGTTGTTGAACGTCAAAAAACGACATTATTTTTGCACCAACCTAATAAAAAATATTGTTACCAAGATTTTCTAATAAAAATATTTTTAAAATAATTTAATTTATTTAAGTATAAGCCCTGAATAATTGAAATAAACTCCGAGAAGTATTTGAATTTTGCAAGAATTTCCAAATTAATGTGTTTGTCAACACAAAAAGAGGCGAAAATTTGCCATACTAATGCTAATTCAATCACCGACGCAAGAAAAACATTTTTTTAAAAATCAAAACTTTGAATGTTCTAAAAAGGAGTAAGAAATTTAATAAAATAACAAAATATGTTGATCCTTCCTTTTAATAATAACATATGAAGAAAAGATGAAAAAAATATAATGAAAACATATTATTAGGATCCTCAATCGAAATGAATCCCTCTGCTTTATCTGATTGGAACTACCGCGTGTAACAACAAAATTGTACAAATTGTGTAAAGTATAATTGCCCATCCTTAAAAATGTTTAATATCTAAAAATCAATTAAACTAATTGAGTTTCTTTTTTTCCAGGTTTTCAGATATAGACGTTTCGTCATTTTGACACCATTTGTCGTAAGAATCACTGAAAAACCCTTTCAGTTATTCAGACAGCAAGTGAACAGGTTAGAATCGTTTTCTGTCAGCCCTACTATATCTCCCCAACTAAGCAATGGTGAGAGGAAAAAAGATCATTCAGGCTTTCACTAATGGTACCAATATTCATACTCTGGCTTCCATCTTCAAAGTTCATTCAAGAACCATCAAGAGAATGGTGAATAAGTTTGAGAAAGAGGGAACAGTAGAGAGGAAAACTGGATCAGGAGATCACAACAGGAACAGGGATCATCATTTCAACTTAGAGCTAAAGAGATCAATTCGAAAAGATCCAAATCAATCCATATGACGTTTGGCACGTGTGAGAGGATTTTCAGCTATGAAAGTCCAAAGAGCAGTGGAAAAGGACTCGAAAATTAAATCGCACGTGAAACGTGTGATGCAGCGTGTTAGAAGACAGAAAGTTAGAAGATTAGAGAAGGTGAAGATCATCTTGAATAAGTTGGAAATTTATTCCTAAAATAATATATATATATATATATATATATATATATATATATATATTGACTTAATTTTGATCCTTCATGACCTTTCGATCCTTAGCTATGATTAATTAATGAACATGTCCTTTTCGTTTATGATCGATTTCATCACGATTCTTCTGTTAATCCTGGAGACAAATTATACATTCTTATTGCTCGAAATAGTGACCAATAATGTTTTAAAACCCACAGATAATTGTAGTATGAATCTTTAATCATTTCTATGATACAAAGGTTCAAAGCTGAAAGTAATAAATGGACAATTTTGCTGTTACACCCAGTATATATGGAATTGGAACTATATTGATTGGAACTATATGTGGAAAATCTAATCTCAGTGCTTTTCAATATCACCTCGTACAGGAGATCGACTTTTAAACAAATAAGCTCGATTGATGACCTAAAAGTAATAAGCACTGTAGAGACGTATTAAAGGGGCCAAGAGAAAGATATACATTATGAGAGAAGGGCTATGAGAAAATATACATCATGAGAGAGGGGCTAGGAGAAAAATATACATCATGAGAGAGGCGCTAGGAGAAAAATATTCAACATGAGAGAGGGGCTAGGAGAAAAATATACAACATGAGAGAGGGGCTAGGAGAAAAATATACATCATGAGAGAGGGGCTATGAGAAAAATATACAACATGAGAGAGGGGCTAGGAGAAAAATATACATCATGAGAGAGGGGCTAGGAGAAAAATATACATCATGAGAGAGGGAATAGGAGAAAAATATACAACATGAATGAGGGGCTAGGAGAAAAATATACATCATGAGAAAGGGGCTAAGAGAAAAATATACATCATGAGAGAGGGGCTAGGAGAAAAATATACAACATGAGAGAGGGGCTAGGAGAAAAATATACATCATGGGAGAGAAGAGGCTTACTA